ATATATATGTATATATATATGCTTCTTTCTGTTTTTCAATCTCATATCATTTGCATTAATTTAGGTTATTTAACAGCTGTCGCAGGACAGCTGTCGTATAATTACAAACAAGTCAACAAATTTTTCACTCAGCTGTGTCAAATACACAGTTTTTCAAACCACCCCTAAGTGAAACTACCAACCATTTAGCCTCCTACCTTGTCTCTACACTGGAATTCCTTCATAACACCTGCATAACAATTCCACCTTGTTATGGAGGCGTAGCTCCTGTGCACATAAACACAGAAACACACGGGGTGGGTCTTCGTCCTGCACTGTTATTTAGCAGAGTGTGTGTTTTTCTTTGCTGTGTGTTTAGTAATGGAAAGTCAAGCTAAAGCACTGTGGGGATGGGGTTATGCTATGAGAATGTTGCGGTTGGGTTTTAAGGAAAAAAACTGAGTGTGTTTGTCTTAGCTTTGGCACCGTTACACCTGGTATGTGTGAGTGATGGAAAATGATGTGTGTAGTCATGTGTTTTTACTTGGTGCACCTGAGGATACAGTATTAGGAAGAAGTGAGAGTGACACTATACAGAAGCCTTCAACTGTGCTCAGCAAAGCAGAGGAGGGGAGTGAGGAGAGAAAGACGAGATACGTTCAAGTTTCAACGTAACTTTATTTTCCAACAGGCATAATTTGGTTCACAGCTGGCAGTAGAATGTAAAACCCATCCATCCATCAATCCATCCATCCATCCATCCATCCATCCATCCATCCATCCATCCAACCAACCATAAATCCATGTTTTGTTAGACGTGTCACTGCTCTAAGTAAAAGTTGAGGATGACTATCTGCTGCTACCAGGCTATATTTAATCCAATACATGTAGATTTGACTGAGTCATTGGTGTGTTTGCAAAGATTGTTTAGCTGTAAGTGTTAGAAGCCTGGTTTTGGGTTGTGTTTTTGTTGTGTTTAGTTTGTTTGTGCAGAAAGTCTGGAGCTGCTGTCACTAGAGGGCGGAACTACTGATTATCACTCACACCTGCAGATCCTCTCCTGCAATCATCCAGGGGATAAACGGAGTTGGCTGTCAGTTCTCCGGTGCCTGAGTGTTTGCCTGCAATGGCTTCCTCCACCACCTCCTGGTTCATCTACCAGAGTTTCCCTGAGCCTCCTCGAGAACCCAAGATCTCCTGGAGCAGTTCTGAAACTGACAGCTTCAAGGTCTTTGCCCACGGTCCGCACGGTAATCTGTCCGCCCTCCATCGCTCCAACTATCTTGCTGCACTGCACTGACTTGTCTTTCACTCAACCACCCCCAACTGGTGGACGCTCCCTCACAACCCAAGTAAGAGAAGTTTTTTGGTTCCTCATCATTTCCTCAGTATTTTTGTGTTGCTCATCAGATTCTCCTCTGGCTTCAGTGATTCCTTTTCCCCGGGTCTCCAGCCCCAGAAGGAGATTCTCAACTTATTTGCTTTTTATTTGTAAATAAACCTTTTGAACTTTCCTTGTCTCCTGAGAGTGTTCTGCATGTGGGTCAAACATTTTTCTAAAAACATGACAGAACACTCAGGCCAGACAGACCCAGCAGACACTCTCAGAGCCATCTCTGAACAGAACTCCCTCCTGCATTCCCATGACGCCACTTTAAGAAAACTCGGCGATCAGCAGGTTTTAATCAATCAACGATTGGACCACTTAACCAATCTCTTGCAGGACCTCCAGCCAGCTCCACCTCCAGCTTCACACCCTGCTCAGATGGCGGCATCCCCTGCACCTCCTCCTAATCAGCTCTTCTCACGTGACATCCGTCCACCTTCTCCAGAGAAATATGCAGGTGATGTTGGTCAGTGTGGGGGTTTTCTGTTGCAGTGTTTGCTGGTTTTCAATTATTTTCCTCATTGTTTTCCTCATGACAATGCTAAGATTACTTACATCATCTCACTACTCACCGGGAAAGCCTTGGAGTGGGCGGAGGCTCGTTTCACTGATATCTCAGATTATGGGTGTACATTTGAGGAATTTATGGTGGAGTTTAAACAAACACTTAATCAGGATTCGGATCACACAACTCACTCTAGAAATATTTGGACTCTAAAACAAGGAAATAGATCAGTTGCTGATTTTGCTATTGATTTTAGAATCAGTGCTGCAACTTCTGATTGGAATGCCTCAGCTCTGAAGAGTGCTTTTTTCATGCCCTAAATGACTCCATAAAAGATGAACTGGCAACTCTAGATGAACCACGGTCTCTTAATGATCTAATCTCCTTAGCCACCTGTTTAGATAACCGTATGAGAGATCGCAACAAAGAGAGATCTAAGAGACCTGCTGTTCACAAAACGAACTTGTTTCCTCCTGCTACTAATCCTCTCCCATCTCCTAGGCTCACCAATCCAGAGCCCATGCAGATTGGCAGAACCCGTCTCACCCCCGAGGAGCGTCAGAGGCGGATGGAGATGAAACAGTGCCTCTATTGTGGTTCAGCAGGACATTTCATTGCCCTCTGTCCAATTCGGCCAAAAGCCTAGGTCCGCCAGTAGCGTCGGGGAGGCTGGCGGACCATTTAAAGAAAGAACAGAATCCCCACTTACTCCTACCTGCCACTCTGCTGTTTAACAATGATTCTCTCAGTCTTTCAGTCCTCATTGATTCTGGTTGTGAACGCAACTTAATTGACTCTGCCATAATTCATCAGTCCCAGATCGAGACCATCCAACTCTCAACCCCATTGCGTGTAGCGGCCCTCGATGGCAAGCCACTACCTCAAATCACCCACATGACTAAACCCCTCCGTCTGATTTATCTCTGGCAATCACAGCGAAGACATTTCTTTTTTTGTTTTTCCCACATCTAACTCCTCTGTGGTCTTAGGTTTTGACTGGTTGCAGCAACATAATCCACACATCAACTGGATAGGCCGACATATAGAGTCATGGTCTTCCACTTGTCACTCTAGTTGCCTTCGATCTGCACTTCCACCCAGCTCTTCTCCGGTGACCATAAATGAGGCTGACCCTCCTGATCTGACATTAGTTCCCCCAGAACATCATGATCTTGCTCCAGTATTCAGCAAAAGCAAAGCACTATCATTACCACCTCGTCGTCCCTATGACTGCGCAATAGAACTTCTCCCTGGTGCCCCATTACCCTCCAGTTGATTATATAACATTTCACGACCAGAGCGCGAAGCCTTGGAGACATGCATTAAGGATGCTCTAGCCGCTGGACTCATTCGCCCTTCCTCATCCCCACTGGGAGCTGGGTTTTTCTTTGTGGGTAAGAAAGATGGCACTCTCCGTCCTTGCAATGATTACAGAGGTTTGAATCTAATCACTGTAAAGAATAAATATCCCCTGCCTCTGATCTCCTCAGCCTTAGAACCCTTTCATGGTGCCACTGTCTTCTCCAAACTTGATCTGTGAAACGCCTACCATCTTCTCCGCATCCGCCAGGGGGATGAGTGGAAGACAGCCTTCAAGACTCCCATAGGACATTTTGAGTACCTGGTAATGCAGTTTGGCCTTTGTAATGCCCCTGTTTTTTTCCAGACTCTCACCAATGATGTTCTCTGAGATTTTTTAAATATCTTTGTGTTCGTCTACCTAGATGACATTCTAATCTTCTCCAAAACACAGTCTGAACACAAGAAACGTGTGAATGGTCCTCCAACGCCTCCTTGAAAACAAACTGTTTGTTAAGGCAGAAAAATGTGACTTTCACAAATCATCTGTTACATTCCTAGGCTACATCCTTGAAGGCGGACAGGTGCGGCCCACTCCTGAAAAGATTCAAGCAGTCCTCGACTGGCCCATTCCCCAAACACGCAGACATCTACAAAGATTTTTAGGTTTTGCAAACTTCTACCGCCGGTTTATCAGAAACTACAGTCAAACAGCCACACCCCTAACAGCCCTCACCTCCTCTAAGGTCCCTTTTACTTGGTCCACTGAAGCTGACACTGCTTTCCTCCGTCTCAAGAATTTGTTCTCTCATGCCCCCATCCTCATTCAGCCGGACCCCGGTAAACAGTTCATTGTAGAAGTGGACACTTCAGAGACTGGGGTTGGAGCGGTCCTCTCTCAGTGCTCTGGTTCTGATAATAAGACTCACCCCTGTGCATTCTTCTCTCGCAGGCTCACCCCGACAGAGAGAAAATATGACGTGGGGGACAGAGAACTACTCGCCATCAAACTGGCCTTGGAGGAGTGGAGGCATTGGTTGGAGGGTGCAGAACATCCTGTGCTGGTCTGGACCGATCACAAGAACCTTTCTTATCTCCAAGCTGCCAAATGACTGAAACCCTGTCAGTCTCGTTGGTCTCTGTTCTTCGCTCGCTTTAATCTCTGTATTTCTTTCAGAACCGGTTCCAAGAACCAAAAACCTGATGCTCTCTCCAGGATGTATTCATCTGATGAGCCTGAGGAGGAACCGGCTCCTGTTCTTCCACCCAGTTGCTCCATTGCCACAGTAACATGGGAGATAGAGGACATCATTGAACATGCTCTGCAAACAGAACCAGACCCCGGAACAGGTCCACCTAACAGAAAGTATGTGCCCTCCGTAGTCCAAGCCCATCTCATCCACTGGATCCACTCTGCTAAGTTTTCTGCACATCCTGGGATTAGCCGAACCGTGGCTCTCATCAACCGTCGCTTCTGGTGGTCATCTATTCACAAAGATGTCAAAGAATATGTCCTCACCTGCTCCATTTGTGCCCCCAACAGATCCTCTCATCAACCACCAGCTGGTCTGCTCCAGCCCCTAGCCATCCCCAAGAGACCATGGTCCCACATCTCCATCGATTTTGTCACCGGATTTCCTTTATCCAAAGGTATGACTACTATATTCATTATCATTGATCGCTTCTCTAAAGCCTGTCATCTCATCCCTCTCAGAAAGCTACCCACTGCCTTCCAGACTGCTCAACTCCTTGTAAAGCATGTGTTTCGCCTCCATGGTATCCCTCAAGAAATCCTGTCTGATTGGGGCCCTCAGTTCATTTCACAAGTCTGGAAGCAGTTTTGTTCAGCCATCGGAGCTAAGGTCACTCTCACATCTGGTTACCGCCCTCAATCCAACGGTCAAGCTGAACGCATGAATCATGAACTTGAAGCCACACTAAGATGGCTCACTTCTGCCAATCGTGCTGACTGAAGCCAAGCCCACCTTGGGTGGAGTATGCTCACAACTCTCAAACCTCAGCTGCTACTGGTCTGTCTCCTTTTTAAATATCCCTTGGCTATCAACCTCCTCTTTTCTCAGCAGATGAAGAACAAATATCAGTCACTTCGGTCCATCACCACATCCGCCGTTGCAAGAACATCTGGACCAATACCATCGTCGCCCTCAACCGTACATCAGAACAAAACTGCCGCCTTGCAGATCGAAAGAGATCCCCAGCTCCACAGCATGTTCCTGGTCAAAAAGTATGGCTGTCCTCACGTGATGTCCCTCTAAAATCCATTTCCAAGAAGATTGCTCCCAAATTCATTGGCCCTTATGAGATAGAGAGCATCATTGGTCCCTCTGCAGTCCGCCTTCGCCTCCCACCCTCTCTTCGTATCCATCCCACATTTCACATTTCTCAGATTAAGCCCATCCAGACCAGCG